ATATTATTTATTTAGTTTAGTATTTTGCTAGCAAAGCCTAGGTCTTGGATAATGGAACTTTATCTAGATGTATATATAACAATGTAATTTGTGATTTACAGAAGTTGAATTAAAGACACTAGTTTTTAAGCAGTTATTCATTTTTGTAAATATCTGTATTCATCTTTCCAGAATTCAAATCTTTCCCTCGATAATGATCAGGTAAAGAAAACACAATTATTTCAGATTACACCAGAGCGTTTTCAGTGCACACCTTGATACAATTACAATGATTCAGCTCCATGCGGCCGATGTAGTTTAATACAATGTCGATGACTTTTCGACCTAAAATAATTCCACAAAAGATCAACAACCATTTATTCAATGCTAACTTTTTAACATGTTCATAAATTACTGTTGACAAGAAAAATACATCAAACATCAGTATCGAAAACACAGTAGAACTCCAATTTCTGCAGTATTATACTGCTGAGAGAATTGTGCCGGCGCTTACATAAACACTTGAATGGAAATTGCATTCAAAAGGATAAACATCGATACATGGAAGCAGCATTGAATTTCCCGCGTAAATTTCTAAATTTGTGTTATTCAGTACAAAAAGGTATCCTAACCGGAAACCCTTCTGATTATTTATGTGGGTTATTATTCTCATATGGCGAGGTAAAACTGTCCCCACATATGGTAGGGCATTGTTTTCATTGCTGCACGAAGGTAAGTCAGAATCAGGCTGTGTGACGTACGGCCAAAAAATTATAAATTTCTGAGCTGTGTTAATATTACTCCACCTTGAGTATCCCCAATATACAGTGTACACATGTCTGTAACAAACACGGTAGGCCGAAAGATAATTATTTGATTAAATAATCATTAAAATCGAACGTCATTACCACCACAGCGCATGACAGTAAATTTCAAAGACGTCTAATTCAATTATTAATAAAGTACAAAAATACAATGTACAAAGTATCCTCGACATAAAATACCTAATTGGAGGATTACGTAGGGAAAACAAGGTCTATACGAATGTCTCTATTAAATAAGTTGCTTGCGGGTTCAATATCAAATGTATTAAAAAGTCATTAATTTTGGCTCATAAAGTAACTGTTGGAAATCTCTTTTAGACATACTGGACAGTTAAAATGTTGAAATTAGGAATCTTTTCCTCGTAATTCCAATGTCTTAGCATACATGACGTCAGGATAAAACCTCAGAAATGTCACTATGAATTTGTAATCATAACAGATATTATTATTATAGTATGAATCTCAGATATCAGGGCTTTTTACATACTGTTCGTCCTAACCTGGCTCGTATATGTCACCAGCTAACATCGGTTTTTTTTAAAAGCATTACTAACATGGACATCTTTTCACCAAGCTGTATGATAAGCTTGATAATTTCAATTTCTCTATTGTGAATTTTCCATTTTTGGATAGTAACATTCTACATCCCCAACACAAGGTGTTTACATACCACAGTTGATTTTCGTGCAAGAAGTCGTCAACAGACCGACAAACTCGAAACGCATGGTTTCAAAAGATACAGGTTAATTATTATAGTGACCTCATTGAGAAATATTTAGTGTGCAAAATGAAGCTGGATGTACTTGGTGCCCGTTCGTTTGCCTGTTGGTTCCGTTGTTGTATACCTTGTTCTCATTTGAGGCCGTGACATTAGTTACTTTGATTGATCAAGGTTTACGTGGCGGGTGTTGTCGATCAAGCTGAAGACGCTTACTCTTCCGGGACTCTTCCTGGTCTTATTTCCTTGTATTTGTTAGGGCATCTTTTCTTTCTTTTTTCATATTGACATGTTGGTATTTTGTTGTTTTTGTTCGGGAGATGGAATCTGTTGTCGACAACATAATCCACATAAATAGGCAAGCAAATGCATGATGGACTTATGATTATGACATCATATTACAACGTCTTCATCTTATTGTTACGTCATGAAACAAAACGTCACTTAGTATTTCAATGAGGAATACGTTTATTTTTCCTTTTCTATCCTTTCTCGCATCATTAAGATTACAGATTGGATTACAACGTGTCATTTGTCATAGTAAAACAAATATATTTGAAACAGCTGACAGCTTCAATATTGCAACTAGAATCACTACCCTATCTCAGTAATAGAGAGAGAGAGAGAGAGAGAGAGAGAGAGAGAGAGAGAGAGAGAGAGAGAGAGAGAGAGAGAGAGAGAGAGAGAGAGAGAGGTGCGGAGCTAGTATACAAAAACAATGGGCTACAAAATTAAAAAGGGATTTTGAGGGGTGGGGGTGTGGTAATAGGGAGGTAAATATTTAAGAACAGGATGGATGGAAGGGTGTATTGGCTGGTAGCTGTGATACTGGAAACTTATGCACGACGATCATGTAAGAGACTGGAAACTGATGTAATGATAAATACCAATTCATGAATTCTGTTGTATTTTATCATTGTGTACTGCAGGCGATATATGTTACAATTTACATAAATAAGAGACATTATTCTGTTATTTTTATTGACCTTTTTCAATAATTTCCATTCGATCACATATTTAACAGAAAGCATTTCCCCTTTATTACAAGTTTGGGCTTTATGCTGAACAAGGATTGAGCATTTAGTTTAAGTAAGTTGTGTACAAATATGTTTTTATATACGGAATGACCTGATTGTCAACTTAATCTCGTGTGCTGAAAGGCCATTGACGAATAAATAAAGTCAACTTTATATATTGAAACGTTGTTATTACTGATCTTATCAAAAATGCAAATTTGTTTATTTAAAGAAAAATGTATCAATCAGAGCGGAGAATACTTGTCCTTTGAAAGGTATAGAGAGTTATCGTCCTTGCCAAGTAACGTGATTTTCATGGAAGATAGGCCAAATTTCGTGACGTTTTCTTATGTTGTTCATGATCTCCTATAAATAAACTTCATTACTGCCAGCTAATGATTACTTAGACAGTCTAATAAATCATAAATACAATAACACAAATATAATTAAACCTGCAGCAATATTACGCCGTCAAATCCACTTTCCGACTCGTTAAGTCGTGGTTATTCACCATCAACTTGATAAAAAAGAATATGAATACTTCGACACGGTTTCTTGACTTTGAATAAGATTTTGGAATTGACCACATTAAAAACAACATACAATTGTTTCCTTTCCAGTGTTACAGAGCTTTAATAAAACAATTGTACTTAAAGTAATGTGTATCATTCTAAGGGATTTGCAAAGGTTTAACCAGTTCTCATCTTTAAAATCAGAAGGTTCTCCATTCTTGGTTTTTTTTTTTTTTTTTTTTGCTCTTAAAATTTGACGGTTCCCTCTCTGCTTAAAAAAATCATAACATGCTATTGAACCTTTAGTATTTTTAATAGCTATTCAGTGACCTCCTGTTGTTATCGATAATAATAGTAAGCCTTAGCGCTGCCCAGGAGCCCAACATAAATATAATTACATATACTATTAGGAAAGGACTTCAAAATTTCTCCTTATCTGAAAGTTAGAAATAATAGAAGGCCAGTCTGGGGATTGGGCTGGACATAGAAGACAAGGACCTTCTCCGGAAGTGCAGACACAGTGCAACACTAGATCAGTCTAGAACTGCCCTCACGTCGCCAGAGAATCGACTTTAGTCGATTGGACAATGCCCGGCAAAAGGCAGCATCGCCTTACAATTCTTTCGAACTGAGTGGCGCTTCAATGCCTCCTTTTGACGGAAAGACACGCCCACCATCCTCCCTTTGGTGTACTTCTAATATAGGACTCATAGAGTCGTCTGTATGGGTGTACGCTCATTTGCATACACAGTACACAGTTTCACTTAAAATGCAATGCAACGAATAAAACCAACCTATCGAGAGGTATTCATGCTTAAAACAACAAATTACGTAGCAATAGTTTCGCGAAATAAGTTAAACATGGTGATATTTTGAAGATATTGGGTTCTGGTGTTGCAGATCTGTTTTACATACGTTCAATATACGTTATCTATCCCGTGATACACAATGATATCATGTAAAAACAATTAATCACAATTAGTTAAACGGAGGTAAAGAGCGATATTTAATTTCACAATTTACGTAATGTAATATCCAACATTAGGCCGCTGTCTGATTTCGTTATATATTCTGAAATTGGTGTATTTTGAAATGAACAAATTTGAAACACCGCGAATAAGATTTTTCCTGTTATATATATAGAAAACAAAAGCGAGATCAATACACGTCTTCTAATAGAAGACAAGTGTGATTTTCCTGACACGCATGGGATGTCACACGAACAAAGCTACCTGAAGTAGTGTTCTGTTAATCCCTTTTTCTTAATCTCTTTTATGTATGTGACTGTGCTGTGTGCGTTACGGAGTTTTTATACACAATTGGAGATCCTTGTGCACGCGGGATGGCCGTGTCCTTATATTTTGGTTTTTGTTAAGGAATTTCCGTTATATTCTACGCATCAGGTTAAACTATATGAGATGAGCGATTCCAACAGTGCCCGTCTTCAAATACGTTTGTCTATTTTTTATTAACTGCTGTAAATTGCATTTGTATTGAGAGAGAGAGAGAGAGAGAGAGAGAGAGAGAGAGAGAGAGAGAGAGAGAGAGAGAGAGAGAGAGAGAGAGAGAGAGAGAGAGAGAGAGAGAGAGAGAGAGAGAGAGAGAGGGAGAGAGAGAGAGAGAGAGAGAGAGAGAGAGAGAGAGAGAGAATCATGTGTGTGTGTAATTTCGTGTAAATCAGTCTCTCCTAACTGTACAACACTAGTATAAGTTACACTGTATAATTTTCAATGCCTTAGATCTATTATATATTTCATCACATCCCGTGTCTTATCCCACTTACCCAATGACTGTAACATCGGAGAAAATGTGCTCAATCTCTTAATGTGATCCGTCTGAAATATTTCTGTCTTCAATCTTCAATCTTTATTTCATTTGCAAACAGAAATATTTTACAACGGTAATCTGATGATTACATTTTATCCATGCCTTGACACGACATGATGGCTCTTCATTTCAAGCATACGACACAAGGAAGAAATTTTCCTTCCTCGTACGGAGGACAAGGCAATGACCCGCATCTTGCTTTGACACCATAAAACAGTTTACCATTTTCGTCGACCCCGCCTTTAGATATTTGAGGATCCTGATCAACACATACATACTGTGACGACGCCTTGTGGATATGAGCTCCAGCGGCCAGATTGCCATGGAATGCCTTAGTCCATCCCGGATAGCACTCGATCCGACCTGGTATCATGAGCGAGGCGGTGTACTGATTTCCAATACAAACGACGCACGGTACATCATCACTCAAAACAGATGTTCCAAAGAGACGACCTGGCGACTGATATTCAGCCCCAAACATATAGCCAATGGCAGAAGTTGTGTAAGAAAAATCCTTATGGGGTCCCCATACAGGCTCATTTGGCATGCAGACGTAGTCCGAGGCTGCTCCTGTGTGTCCATAGAACGAGCCACCGGCATACCCTATAACAACAGATTATAGAATTTTACCTTCCACACAGAAGATATCAACAATTAATAATTCAATAAACAAATAATCATATATAAAGTACTACCAAAGAAAATTTAATTGCGGCATGCATTCGTGGTAATCTATTCTTGAACGTGCAGGTTGATGAAAAAATTGGGGAAACTTTACGGCTGTGTTAATGATCTGATTGGGAAATATATACACCGATAGAGCGATCGACAAATAAAATCGTTTAACTAGAACACCTCGTCCAGTTTCCTTTACACCTCTTCAAGCGTCTTCAAGAGAATTTTTTCATATGCTTGTTCATATTCTGTTTTAGTTTCATCGAATTTAAATCTTGATTAAGACTCATTTGATATGTCTGTATTTTGTCTTAGTTTCATCGAATTTATGTCTTGATTAAGACTCATTTGATATGCTTGTATTTTGTCCTAGTTTCAAAGAATTTCAGTCTTAATTGAGACTCATATGATATGTCTGTATTTTGTCCTAGTTTCATCGAATTTATGTCTTAATTTGTTTGATATGTTTGTATTTTCTTTGTTGCTATTGTTTTTGAATAACAAAACAAAAAGAAGTTCAGACAGAGATAGCAGGAAACCGCATTAAACTCAAACAATTTTTGTGGCTTTTGTTAATGTGTGACTTAAAAAGTACCTCGAGTGCACGTGATCTGAACGGATATCACCATGGCGACCTGACAAGAGGATGATTGTATCAAATCACTTGTCTGGCATATACATATCACTTTTTGTTTGCGAGTTAAAGTTATATTATCAAACGATTCTACAAACCACAAATTATTTCATAAACTGATATCAAAGTCCTTTTCCAAATTGCATTAATCAGCGAGGTTTACTTTAAGCTGTATGCCACGTTTTAATTCATTCAAATAGAGATCATTTGATTTATTGTTTAAGGAATGTATTGATTTAAGTGGTTATGGGGTTAGTGCATCGTCCATTCTAGATTTACATACTCATAAATGCTTAATAGGTTTCAACATTTAGGTCAATAGCTTCACTGACGAAACTGACGAAGGACAAAACACTTGTATGATATAGTTTATTCATCTAAATTTGAATTAAAAGGTGACATGCACTTGACCGTCTTTTTGTATACTATTTATCAAGATTTTCAATAATCCATCTCATCCTTTCATCCAACTATTCCAAATTCAAGATGCCTAGAACCACCATTTTCATAATAATCTCTTTTATAGTAAATTATACTGATATGAGTACATTTTGGATAATATTTAATGATATGTTATGCATAGTACTTTTATTCATATTCAGAAGAGGATTTTTAAAAAATGAGATCATATGTGTTATTTACAGTAAAGGTTGCTATTTTCTATGTGATATTTTTATTACTATTTTAGAGGATGGAATAAAATTCTTAACTTTCGAAGTAATTTCATTTTAGTTGATTTTGAGGACTTTTTAATCAATGGTTTAATTTGTCCACGAATTGATAAGAATAATTAAAAGTAGTGTTAAGCTATATCTATGTACAGAATTGAGTGTCAACTAAATGAGTGGTGATTTTTGAAAACCACGAAAATTGATTCCCGCGAAATCATACAAAATAAAACCCGTAACAGTATCTATAAGTTTTCGTACCTGTATAGACAATAGACGTTTGGTTTACTGGGCAGTCAGTTCTTCCCCATCTTGTAAATACGGCTCCTTTGTTATCTGTGGATTGCAAATAATGTCTCATAATAGTGCTTAAAGTCAGCACCGAAAATTAGGACCAGGGTGCAAATAATCGGGGATTGAATTTGAACGCTGTTATATACTCCGCCAGTCACTAAATATCATATCGTGTTCACTGCTAGTGACAATCTTCTGGGGAAAAAATAGATAAACATTTAAATGTCTGGTAAAAAGTCTGAGAGGGGAGTAGTAATCTAAAATGATATGCGCTAGGGAAAATCTTCTATATACAGCATCATTTATTATCATTTCTGAAACAAAAATTGATAAGTCAATCTGACGTACACAGTGATCTAAATTTATATATGATGAGACATGGAGCGATCATATCAAATTATATATTATGTCACACAAAGGGATCTAAACTTATATATGATGAGACTTTGAGTGATTATATAACATTATATATCATGACATACAAAATAATAATCTAAACTTATAGATGGCGCTACCTGACACACATTGAGATTTAACAATAAACTTTATACATATATCAAATATAAACCGTGTAGACAAAATTATCACACTTTTGTCTTTATGAACGAAAATGTCAAGTAAGAATACAATATTACCTTTTGATAGAACATCCACTCTTGTTTCCATCTGCGTTTCAGAATGCTTGATCGCATCCTTACATATTCCAATTAGATCCGTTCTATAACGATCCAGACTGTCAGTTACATAAGTATCTAGAATTGGTCTGATGTTTTGTAGTACTTTTTGTTCTATTAAAGCATCTTTTACGTCGAATCGTTCAATATACTGAGAGTAAACCGAACCGAAAAAGAAAATAAAGAGTTTCAACATGTTCTTTTGTTTAGGTTAAAAACAATATTTTACTTTGCTTGTCAATAGATGATAATGACGATTGAAGCACAACCCGGTCCAGGTCGATCATATAGAATAGTGTACTGGTTTTATCCTTAAGCCTGTATCATGTAACCATCTAATTGTTCGTGAAAAGTGGGAATATCCGTTCTAGATTTTTTTTGTCGAATGTGTCACGTATATCATTATTAATTACGTGTAATGATATTGTAGCACAGACAACAATACAGTTGTTTAAATGACGATGAATTTGAAATATCGTTCAAAGAGCGCTCGTTAGAGACCAATCAGTCAACAAGGAAGTACTCTAAGGTTAAAATCGCAAGGACTTACGAAGATTAAGTTACAACTTAATGGCAATTCAACCTTTGCTCTGGTGATGACTGTTTTAAAGGACATATTTTATGAATTGAAATAATGTATTGCTTCACTACTTTGTTTCGCTTCAGGCGCCATAATATGTTACGAAACGTTCATTATTTCTCATTTCATTTAATTCTGATCTTGATTAACATCCTTTGATATTTTCGGACTAATCGTCTTTAGAACAAAGCCGCTTATCTCGATATTACCTTCAACAAGAAGTCGCTAATAGACACATACTCGTAACATAGGGTTTCCAAAGATGCAGGTTAAAGAAACTTATGGGGAAGTTGTATGGTCGCTACACTGATCTCATTGATAAATATTTCATTGTGGAATTAAAACTGGGCGTGTTTGACATTATTCAGTTGGATTGACTAAGGTTTACAAAACGGGTGTCGTCGATGAAGCAGAAGACGCTGATTCTTCCGGAAGTTATTTTAGTTCGTGAAAAGTTTTATCTAAGTTAAGTTATTTAACTGTTTACAAATTGCCGAAAAACAGTGGTTTATGCGATATTGATCATTCTCACATTCTCAGTGAATTGGCCATTGAGAGAGAGAGAGAGAGAGAGAGAGAGAGAGAGAGAGAGAGAGAGAGAGAGAGAGAGAGAGAGAGAGAGAGAGAGAGAGAGAGAGAGAGAGAGAGAGAGAGAGAGAGAGAGAGAGAGAGAGAGAGAGAGAGAGAGAGAGAGAGAGAGTCATATATACAATGAGAGACAGACAGACAGTCTGACAGTCTGACTGTCTGACCTGACAGACAGACAGACAGACAGAGAAAAGTGGAGAATTACCCTTATTCATGATAAAACACAGGTCTATGAGTAAGTCTCGTGAGTAAGTCGTTATGTGATGAATTCGAAATAAAATTATTTCTCGATCATATATCACGGTCAAGTGTATATGCTTTTATCTCGAATAATGCATAGTATTCATGTTTTCTATTACTAATATCACTGACTGTATAGCGTATTATACAACTATCGTATTATTCAGTTATACAATGAACATAAGCCTGAATTAAAAACATGTGTCATGGTCGTTATAACAGCCAAATATTGCTGATTAAATCAGAAAGGGTGACTCGCACCTCTCGACAATAACAAGTTAACAATTAAAATTCTACCTTAATGCACTAAAGCTGAACTGGGCAAAACAAAATGGCGATTACCATTATGTTGACAAATAGCGCTAATGGCAACGACACGTGGTTTCTCACCGACATTTGTTAAGATTTTACTTGTTAAAAATTATTATAATACAGCTCTTCAAAAACTTCATGTAACCGTGATTAGGTATATATCATACTATATGCGTGGTACTATTTTTCTTAGTCAGAGTAGTGTTAATGACGTCATTAAACCTCAAAACTGTCCTTGAATTAACCAAAATATTTAATTAACTCTGAATACCTGCAATGACGCATATAACATAATATCTGTATTTGTGCACTGTCGCATATTTTGGAATCTGATGTATTGAAAACAAAGCATAAATGTCAATATTGGAACTACGTCGTTGGTAGTTTGCAGTAACTGATATGTCAGTTTGTTTTTATGTTTTACAATGTTTTCTTTTTCTGTATTTTATGAGGTGTCAATTCTGTAATATCAACATATATATCACGGTGGGCGATTTTCCGACGTGTTTTATAACATCACCGCTGAAATGAAATACATGAATTACACTGAAAATATAAAGAAGAAGCATTTATAATGATGCTGCTGAGACAATGCTACCGGTGGAACTTTTTTCTGTGTTACAAAGCCTTGCACTTAAATACATACTGCATCCAATATAGTATTAGTGATGTATGTTAATCTGGTGTCTGTTAAATTGGACCTTGGGCCTTAAGAGGAAACCGGGTAACTTGGAAATAACTTATCTACAGCTAATGACAACTGCTTTCGGCTTTGCAGGAATTTCTATCATCTACAAAGGCACATTCAAATAAGCTTAAACAGGAAAAGGTTGCGAGGGTGAAAATTTCTGGGCGTTGTTAATGCTACTCCATTTGAGATCACGTGACCTGTAGGAAGGCATGAATGCTTCTTGACACATTATACAGAAACCGATAGCAACCGCTTATCACGGTTCGATAGGCTCTGGAATTGAGTTTTTGTTGATCGGTCACCAACAAAATATTTATCATGGTTGTATAAGAGTCCTTCCAGAGCTTAAGGACAAGAACACAACAAATATTGTGCAATAGCAATACGGTTGTTTGTTTAAGGCACTCTTCCGGACCTAATTCATATTTACCGTTGACATCACCACGCTGACCTATTGCAAGGATCATTCAAATCGTGTCAACTGCTGCCTGAGAGACGGCGTCACAACTTATGTACTGTTCAACGCGCTTTATACCACCTTCATTTTAATGAATAGGTGTTGATGTTTGTTTACGTGTATTGATGGTTAAGGTGATATTTACTAGAAAGATGTTTATAAAGCAATCTTATAGTGATAAAAATGCAATATCTGTGGCCCACTTTCCAGTCTATATATCTACATAACTTATATATCATCATAGCAAAAGAATCAATAGGATGGAAATCCCGAACGTACCATTACCTTAGATAAACAAAATTTATAAATCAGTTTGATTAATGACAAATGACATCATAGAAACTGAGGTTTGTAAGTAAAAGCGAAAACAAAAAAAAACAAAAAAACAAATTTATTTCAATATGTTTGATTAAATATATAGATTTTTAACATTCTTTTTCTGTGCGATATAAAGCCGGGCTCAATAATTTGCCTGTTGTTTTATACTTTCTCCTCATTTAAAAGCATGACAGTACTGAAAAAAACAAATAATGAATGTCCCGTTCTCAAATGAGAGCAAGATGTAAAACAACGGAATCAACATTCATAGTAAAGAGCATCAAACACGTCCTCTCTTCATATAGCGCCATGAAATAGAATATTTCTCAATGCGATTACTATGACGACAGTAAAACTTCCCCGTAATCATAAACCTGCATCTTTTGAAACCTAGTGTTACGAGTTTGTCCGTCAGTTGACGACTTCTTGCACGAAGATCGTGAATATCCAAACAACTGCGACATGTAAACACCATAGGTTGTGGATGCATGGATGTTGCTATCCAGCAATGGAAAATTTACAATAGGGAAATTTAAATTATCAGGTTTATCATTGAGCTTAGTGGAAATCTGTCCATGTTGATTTCGTTGTAGGAAAATATCGAGATACATGGTTGAGTTTGTCGTGTCTTTGATTTCCAATTCTGGTGGGTATATATAATGGGCAAGGTTATTTTTTATTTCTATAAATATGAAATTAACATATCTGAAAGTGCGATTAACAAAATTTGCCAGTTTTTGTTAAGCTGTTCAATAAATTCAGTCTCGTATAAAAACAAAAAAGTCGGCCAGCAGAGAGGCACAGAAAATTATAGGTATGCCAAGAATCGATCTCGACGACGATTTTTTCAACCAGAATCTCGATCATGTTTTTATGCTTTCGTCTTCCATATATTTCGTCTTTGTCGTATTTTCACTAAATACGCTTCAGTATAGTTCACAACGTTATAGTCATACCACATTTCACCTTTCTTGTAGAAAAAAACTTTCCTATCAATAAAAGGAATGGGAGATGATGATTTACAGGGTGAAAAAATACCTTCTAGAAGAGGGTGTTGAAGATTTATAAAAAACCTCTTTGGAGTTCTTTAAAATCCAATAACTATTTGTTCAAGATCTTGAGTAAACATAATTAAAGTTAGACTGTAAACCGAATTTGATAGTACTAAGAATGGTAGTTAGCAGTTTTGACCAAAAAAATGTATGTTCTCAATGATTTATAAAATATTAGTACTGAAACCACACACTTATTGTTGACACAAAACGTTCCTTTGTGATTGAAGTACTTATATACACATTTACTTGAACAAGTACTTTGACTATGTATCTGTCACAAGCACTGGTACATCCTTGCCTGTTTAGTAGGTGTGCTAATATATCTACAAGACTGTTTTTTATACTTACTCTGAAGGCCGTTACGTAAACATTGAACACTAAAAAATCGTAGTAACCAGACTTCGTGGAACAAGAAATCTTAATTACTCTGTCGTTATTTTCTTATTTAATCTTTCAACTATATAAAAGATATATATATAATTGTATTTACGTCACTATCGTTTTTAAAGGTGTAATGATCGCGTCTAATTGATTTATATTTAAGGTTTTTAACGTCCATCACAAATGATATACAGAAGCGATCCTAATAAAAACTGACGAGTTTGACTATTACACATTGTTGTGCATATGAAGAAGCGCCATGGTGGAAAAATAGGTCACTTTTGATGTCAGTTGTGCACATGAAGTATCAATTATAGAATTACATCTATTTATCTAATATTGTTGATGTTTCCTTAGTTTATCACATAATTGAATAGTAAACACAGACAGCAAGGTGATTTTTCCTTGGAATTATTTATCGTGTTTGTCTGCCAAACTTAATAAATACCATGTATTTCAAAATTGAGTTTCAAAAGATTTTGTTGAATGCATACCCTTTTTCTTTATAACTGTCGACCTATGTCTTCATGTTTTGAAAAACATGTTGAGTTCTGAATAGATGTGCCTTTTTATT